GCTCGATCACCGACAGTACGATGATACCCAGCAGATCACCGGATATAATAGTATAAGATTATGTATCGTACGCTTAGGTCGTTGTTACGCCGACATTCATAAAAATATAAGTTTGCGTGGTTTCTGCGCACTTATACCCCCAGGTCCGATTTTTTTTGGAGGTTTGACAGTATCGTGGATTTGAAAACCACAAAAGCCAATTTCCTAATACTATCGCTTTTATATCATATTCGYAAACATTTTTTTCTTACATTTTATCTTACAACGTATAGGTATAATAATAATGCAAGCCTATGTAGATGAATATTATTAGATTGCTTACAATCAATACTACATATTCGTCGATATTTGCCAGTGCAAGGAATAAAATATATGTTAAAAATGTAAAATGTTTTTTAGATTCTGAGCGGAGCGAGGAATGTATTGATTTTACCATGATGAGTGTTTTTTTGTGTGTCTATCTGTCATCACGTTTTGGGGCAGTAAAAATGCTTCGATTTTCGACTTTAGTACCTACCTTGTTAGTTCAGAAAGTGAATCTAGTTGGTACTTTCGGGGTTCAAAAGTTATAAGTAAATATTTTTCTAAATAATCGGAATAAACAAACTAAAAATTAAAGAAATAACTAGTATTTTTATGCACAATCAGTTTTCCACAAAATCAATTTTGGTTTTTGATGTAACATTAAAACAAATGACCATGGATACATGAAATTTTCACCGAATTTTTATATAAGTAAATTCTATCCACCATGCAATTTTCAAAAAATGTTGACCTGAGTTTAACTATTTATAGGCATATGCAATTTCCGATCATTATTAGTTTTTTTTAAATTAATATTGATAAAAATTTATTTGTTGGGTAGAAAAGCTTGAAAATGTAATATAAGGTTTCTAACATATTGTTATATTAGCAGTAATAGTTGAAAAATAAAATAAATTCAGTCACAATTTTTTTTATAAGCATTCAAAGTTTGAATTTTGACAAAATACGTAAAAATCACAAAAATTCGCAAATTATTTTAAACTARAAATTCATAAAAAATWTTCTTTTTAAATMAAAKATTTGAAAATTTTTAATTATCTATAAAATATCCTAACCTAACCGTTTCCGTTCAGAATTTTTTTTCTTATACAATGTTATAATATCATAAGATTCAAATTTAATTCTACCCATTACAGTAACCCACACTTGTAACCTACTGTACAGCAGAGCGACATCCATGACTTACCCGCTTTTTTTTATTATCAATATGTATGTATTATTACCCACCTACCTACGTGCCTATCAGAAGTTGTTAAATAATGTATACATAATAGTAAATTACCTACTTGTACATTACTTGAAGTATAACCATGTACGTACAATAGGTACTTAGTAGGTCAAACAATATATTTTAATGTTTAGTTGCCTTTTATTATAAGCGAAATCGACGAAACAGACAAATATATTATGATACTATTATTAAGCAATCGTTATATATAACTATATAAGTATGGTTATATTATATTATGTATATGTAATATGATGATATTTCAACCTATTATCGGTTTAAACAAATTTTATGTCACACTACATTTAACAGGTACACCTGGTATAGACTCTTCACAGTATATGACCATGTTACACATAGGTACCTACTAATTGATCATACCTATAATTAAACGCAGCTGTAGGTATATATAATAATAATATATGTATGCATATTTAATGACCAAGTTCTGTGTATTTATCTGCAGTTTACTTTCTGTATCAAAATAAAACACGACTGTAGTCTATTCGGATTTGGGTCGACAAATAATAATATTATAATTTATAAATATAGCTATACATATAGGGTTGACACTTCCAGAAATTCCTGAGATAGTTCTCCGGAATATTAATAACTGTAAAAAATTAAAACATTTTCAGTAATTATTATAAATTCTGAGCGGAGCGAGGAATGTATTGATTTTACCATGATGTTTTTTTTTTGTGTCTGTCATCACGTTTTGGGGCAGTAAAAATGCTTCGATTTACCTCGTTAGATCAGAAAGTGAATCTAGTTGATAATTTGGGGGGGTCAAAAGTAAAAAAGGCGGGTAAGTCGTGGATGTYGCTCTGCTGTACAATAGGTTACAAGTGGGTTACTGTAATGGATGGAATTAAATTTGAATCCAATGATATTATATCATTGTATACGAAAAACGATTCTGAGCGAAGACGGTTTATCTGTCTAGGATATATTATAGATTATTAAAAATTTTCAAATCTTAGATTTAAAAAGAAAACTTTTTATGAATTTCTAGCAAAAAATAATTTAAGAATTTTCGTGATTTTTACGTATGTTGTCAAAATTCAAATTTGAATCCTTGTAAAAAAAAAATCGTGCCTACGAATTTTTAATATTTTTTAACTGCTATTGTTACAATGTGTTAGAAGCCTTTTATTCAATTTTCAAGGTTTTCTACCGAACAAATAAATTTTTATCGATATTTATAGAAAAAAAAAAACTTAGAATTTTTTTTCTTATACAATGTTATAATATCATAAGATTCAAATTTAATTCTATCCATTACAGTAACCCACACTTGTAACCTACTGTACAGCAGTGCGATATCCACGACTTACCCGCTTTTTAATTTTAAACTAAAAAGTCACGTCTCTTGATTTATGTATTTTTATATGAATATAACTATATTATTATGTATATTTTAACATGTATATCATATAAAATTCTACTATAGGATACTTAATATTTTGAACATTATAACAAACGTTTATGTATATATTATAAAATATATAGAATATGCATGTATTGTCGTATTTTAATACTTTTTTATCATAATTTTACGTTGTTTTTATCTTAATAAACGATGGCCCTGAAATAATTATATATAGGTAGCACAATTACAGAACATCTACGATTTCAGAAGTAAAAACACTGCCGTCTGCCTGCTTTATATTCAGGGAGAAGTTTCATAATACTTTTGATTACCATGCTTGGATTTAAATTAATAGGTAAATAACAAGTCTACTAGTTCATTGGTCTCATTCGATATTCTGATCTAGACACCTGAATGCATTTGTGATAAAAAAAAAAAAAAAACGAAGAACGTCGCATTTTACTCCCTTTGCATTTTATTGTGAACAAAATTCACAACAAGTAGGCTCGCAGACTTGGAGTGAACTTACTGTTAGTTTATTTTTATAATGTGCTTTGAATTGTATAGCTATTTCATATAAAGCGAGCATATTTTATATGGAAATATAACACACACGTTTAAGAAGGAACGTATAAAATAAACTCATTAGCATAATAGACATRAGAGTTTTTAATGTTAAGTTACGTTCTGATCATTGTGCACGCTTTTTTTCAGGACATATTTCTATTGACACGGATACGATTTGTACAATAAAAATCGTGGCTTCTGAACATTGATGTCACTTATCATTATATAGTACATTTTTTACTTTGAATGAGAAGGGGCCGTGATCGTATTATATTTAGTTTCGAATCTCGTGAAAGACTTTTACTTTCATTACCTACCATTTATCTGTATCTGTTAGAGTCGACAGTCTATGGTAGCATCACGTCATAATACAATGATAATATCAGTGTAATATCTTATATTATTCTTTATTCAAGTATGATCGTTCACCAAATCTGTACACGCAAGGCTAATACTGAAAGTGATATTAATTATTATTACTATTATTTTGTAAAAATATAACATCGTAATGACATATTTTGTAATATATATTAATTATTTAAAATCAAATGAAAATAGAAATTACTAAAACCACCCGAGACATATAATAATATTTTGACTATTTAATTATTGCAATAATGAATAATTATTAATTTATCATTAGTAAAAATAAATTTTTGAGTGAAATAATTTTTAAATCTCCCAAAACATTTGAGGAATTTGTAGTTTGACAAATATTATTAAATTATATTATTCACATTCATACTATTATYGTGTAATATATAGTGCTGTAATTTTAATATTATTTTTTAATTGAAAATATTTATTTTGGACCTTTTTTGTGGTTATTAATTTTATCTTTGCTTTAATCCATCTCATACCGGAAACAAAACATTTATCTCAATATGAGTTTTTTAACCTACAATTTTATTACACAATTTGTTTTGTACAACATTTTTAGCAATTACAATAGATATGACTGAATTAATGTTACGTATGGAATACTATAGTTATTGACTTATTGTGAACGGACGGGTAAAGAATCATCATGYGACATGCATGCCGTTGGATACATTTCGGCGAGAGTTATTACAATACTTAAATTCTATTAGTAGGTCACGCAACACAATAGCCTTTATTTTATTAAAAAGTAAAATATTTATCATATTTTTTAAACCTTATCTGGTTCTTTGTACCATAAGAAAAAAAAAGTTGCTCAATAATATAGTCGACAGGTAATAGTATTATAAAGAGGGGAACAAAAATATTCACAACATTGAAACATTGATGTATGGTGGTGGACTGTGGTTATGTGAATTTAATTATTCATTTAAATTTGAGCTCCCCTTAAAATTTGACGAAATCTCCTTTAGTAATTACTGATTATTTATGTACCTACACATTATATAATTAATATATAATAAGTTCTGTAGAGTATAGGTGGCGTTTTTTGTTTTGACAAACACGAAAACTGTGCCGGTGGCTGTTTATTTCGGCGTATCCGTTTCGAACCACTGCCTTAGAGACTCCCACTATAACAGCGTATAATATAATGTTATATATCAAATATAATGATTATATATATATATATATATATATATAGTAATAATAAGAATAATAACAATGGGAAAATGCGGTGGCCGAAGAAAGTGTTAAACGCGCGAGCGGTCTCGCGCATTATACCATCGCGAGCACAGCCATATCGGCACACGGTAGCGTATATTATTATAGTCGCCTGTAGTTTATTTAATTCCTCCTTCTCCTCCATCACTACCGTTGACAACGACCACGACGATGATAGTAATAATAATATTGTGCCGAAAACTAAAAAGTCTGCCCGTAGTCATTTGTGAACGCGTTTGACTATAGTGCGCACGAGTGCGGTTTTTGTCGCTATACATCCGTTCGCGGTTTCGTTTATCTGTATTATTATTATTACCAATATTGTTTCATGTGCAGTTGAAAAATCGCATGTCGCCTATTTCAACAACATAATATCACCAGTGCACTACGGATACACGGACACGCATAATAATAATATTATATATGTCAATAAGTGTTCGCGCCTGCAGGAGAATGAATGCTGTATGATATAACATCACCGTCGATCACACACACATGGACACGAAAGTCGCTCAAGAGTTTGCCTTCGATAAGTCGCGATCGTTTAGATAGTGCAGCAGTCTCCRATTAAGGCACCAAACAAAATAGCAGCAAATCTTATAATATACTATTAGTGCGACTCGAACCGGAAGAGCGGCCGAGGCAGTATATAATATACATCGCGACATCCACGAGGTATCTATACCAGAAATTGTACCTATTTATAACATAAGCGTTTTAGTATACACACGGACATTGTAGAACGGTATCGTATTCGTATAATATAATGTTATGTTTAGATGATTTATTGATTCCATATTATAGTGTATTATTATTATGCGTTTTTATTATTATTATTATTATTATTATTATTAAGTGCGCTTCGATGCGGCACGCGCGAGAGCGGCGTATATGATCTATGAGATTGCTGGCGGTCGATTAGCGAGGCAGACAATACACCGGTCTACATAAAAAGCGAACCGGTTAAATTATTATGATTTATGTCGCATTATTATAATATTATGTACGCGAGTACGTGATATTCTATACGGTCATCCGGGGTAAGTTTTCTCGATTATTATAATAGTTGTACACTATTATTATAAGATTAACACGCGGCAACTATATAGTGGAGCSCACCGTTGCAGTGGTTCGGCCGCGGGTGGGTCGTACATATAGGYACATTTATATAGCAGGTAGTAAGTAGAAAGCTCATAYCACAGAATATAATTGCCATTACGTATATAGGTAACGCCATAATAGTAATCTGCATACTGCAGAGTAGTTTAAGCATGGCTGCTTAAGATAGGTAGTTATTACAATAAAGCGCGTGGGCAGCTCTTAATAATAATAATAATGAAGTATATTCGAACGAATAAGCCTATGGACTTCTGCTGCTGCTGCTGCAAGGCGCATCGACCTGTTTTATCCACCCACCCTCGCCACCTATGACCGTCACCGATCTCCAATGGGATTTGCATGTTTCTCTTGGAAACACCGAAAGGATTTACGACACGGTTGACAAGAGTTATAGTCTCCAAGTAAACAAGGGGTGCTCGAGCCGCCACTGCAGCTATTTAAATAATATATATTTTATTATTATGTCCGACATTTCCTGGAAACGTCAGACCTCGCYATATTATTACGATCGTGAATATCGTGTAGATATATAAAAATAGTGCAGTGCCGTACATACCWAATGTATAATATTATCCCATCAGATATACTGCATAGTAWAAACATTACGTATATTAAAATAACGACATTGYGAGGGCAACTGTTTTTTTMTTTTTTTATTGAGTACGATTTATACTAGTATATAATATTGGGAGTTTTCATTTTTATTTTCAATCGAACGTAGTTTTTCATCTTYAAAGAAAATCTACAATCAAAATTCGTTTTATACTCGTATAAATGTATAATATCCATACTTACGATCAGGAAACCCCACAAGCTAAGTAAGCACCCATAAAACAAAAGTATATCTGATCAATATCGGAACCACGGTTATCTACTTCTATCTAGAAAATCGTGATCGGAACATGTAAAGAAATTATATTTATAATTCAATAAAATTTTAACTTTTTCTTGTTGAAAAATATACTTTTCAAACGTAGGTACCTATGTTCAATATTACACTGCACACTATTGCAGTTATAAATAACTCATAAATCATTATATTTGTTAGTAGGTATATACAACTTAMAAACTATAGTCTATGCGTCTATATTCCAACCTTGAATCTGTAAGRCAAAATAAAAATAAATTGTTATGATAATAATATAGATACAGTTTCTCAAAACAGCATGGTATGATTCTATAAACATTTCCCATTAATTTTTATAGTTATTATTTCGATAGACAAATAAATTCATTATATGTAGTTTTATGTGCACATTGTTCAGTATAGTATTGTAAGTGATAGTATGTACTTTGAATAAGTCTGCAATTGGTTACAAATTATTATTTTTTTATAAACTTAAGTTAACTACTTTGGTTTTCAAACTATACTAACCTTCATTATAGGTACCTAAAGGCTATATTCTTAACCTGCATGTTAGGTCCTAAGGAATTTTACCATAAGTTCACAATAATTACTAAWTCAAAAACTACTCGTTTGAATTTAAAGTTAGTTAAATCAACATTTAAAAAATAATTATTTATTTTATAATATATTGTAGTGAATGGAATAACAAATTAAAAATCAGGACATGAATAAATGCATTATTATTAGAAGAAAAAAATGAGGGTGAGCTTGTCACTGCACTATTTTCCTTGTATATAATATTCCGGGAAAATATTTTAGACACGTACTAAAATACAGTAAGTTGTATATTTTTAAGTACCTATCTGTGTCGTGGTCATTGGATCCGAATGACCCGATAGGTAGCCAGGTAGGTACTACAGAAGCTAAACGCGCAGTTAAAGTCAAAGGTCTTAAAAACTAAACGAGAATCGTGTTATTCCTATACATTATCTGTGCATAATATCTTGTTTATTCCCACGTGTCGATGAATGCATGGATTAATTAGACCACGTGGCATGTGGTCACGTAAATCGTATAATTTATATAACTAGACAAGTATTGAAAATGTTACCTATAAAATAAATTCAAATAATTACACGTATATACATTATTATTTATTATATTTCCAAATAATATCGTGACCATATTATATTTTTATAAAATATTTGTAATATATTAGGAATAATTAGAGTATACCTATATTGTATATCTTGTGTATTAGGTGCGGTWACTTGATGAAAAAGTAGTTAAAACCATAGTTTAAAACGATTATGGGTCGTTAACAAGCCATTTAAGTAGTATGAGTAGGTGGATTTTTAAAAATGCGTCTTACTGTTTATTATTACTTTGTTAGGTATTTATTTTTATTATCTTTCGATAAACTTCAAAAAGTAGGCATATCTATTCTATCTATTATATTTTGTTTATTGTATTGTTTAYTTACGTGTTACAGGTATGYATGTGGTGAATATTGTGATGTATTAATATATATTGTTTAATGTTTAATCACATGAGTGAAACGTAATTTTGTTTTTAACTTGAAGAATACARTTGATAGTCTTTCGCTTTTTGCAACCTTCCACAAATCATACGATGGTATAATATAATAGATTTTAATAAACATCACATGAACAATTTAGTAAATATTATGCTTATAGATTATTATTTTTTCGTTTTATTCAAGCAAGGTCGTATGGCCTTAGGATGTATTATTAAAACAACGGTAGGTACCTATATACTATACATGTCGAGTATGATATTAACATAACATGTGGTTTATACTCTATACACAGTTCTATGTAGGCATTTAAATGATAGAATAATATTTAAATAATACAAATTACTTTATGCATTACAATATTTGATAGATCTCACAGAACACTAACTTATGTAGGTAAATTAAAATAAGTTCTCAGTAATATCATTATATACCTATAATACTTCTGTGATTATAAATT